CTGTTAACAACCAATTGGTATCTGTCACTTGGTAGTATTTGTTCTTTTGAGGAAGTTCAGATTCTGATATTGTCTGTAGTTTCATGAATTTGATTGCATATTAGCTAAAAGGTGGAATATGGAATCATAGAAAGTGTGGATGGAATTGTCACAAGGGTAATGATCTTCCTTGCTTTTCTGCTGCCCAGTGTTTCTTTCCACATGCCTAGTATATGGGCACAGTAATGGTGACTCTCCTAAAGCCCTTCCTGAATCCCAGTTCCCTCTAGAGGTACTGGAGCAGCAGACCATCTTTGAGTTCCAGCTGGTGAGCACTTGTTAACTTCCTTTATTTTATATCTACACTGACACTTTTTAATATGAACAAAATGAGAGTGAGGATATTGGCAAGGTATTTTTGTGGCTGAAAAGAAAACATGAATGCTCTATCAGCAATGAGCTGTGTAAAGTTAACTGTCATGTGGTACAACAGTACATATACTGCAACTCTAATGTCTCTCTGTTCCAACTTGTGCATTTCAGTAGAAGATTTTATGATTCTGATACTATATGATGTTATGAACCAAAAAAGAGTAAATTAGGCTAAGATACTTGAAGGATGGTGGATAATGCACAGTCAAGTATGAGATTATTCTAATCAAGTGGCAAGTAAATTTCATCCACCTAAATGGTTTCAGGTGGATGTTGTAATTGCCAGTATAGGTCTACAGGTTTTGGAAAGGAAGGAGTTTTGGTTTGGTCTTGAAGATGGCAGGGGAGAAGGGTGCTTTATTAGAGCAGTCTGATCTTTACTTAAATCAAAATTTGAACTTTTTATACCTTCAGAATTGAAGTGATGTTAATGGAGATGCTAATTAAGTGTGATAATTGCTAGAGAAAGTTGACTGTATTGCAAAATGTAGTATTCTTATTTCAGCCTATGTTAAATCAGTTTTTCAAATCCAGGATAGTTTTGAGCCCTTGCTGCAGTTCGAAGTGTCTTGGATTCAGCGCTTGGGATGTGGAGAAAACTTAGAAAAACATTAAAAGGAGTCCTAGTTTAACAGAATCTCAAATCTGTAGTAGGCATGAAGTCAATTTTGAATTGGTTCCCAGACCCTTGCTCTTTGTACTTTCTGCATTAGTGCAGAATTGATTTTCATGCATTAGTAAGGAAGATGTGATTTTTGTTGGAAAGACTAGAAGATAGCTGTGATATTTTAACCTTGACTCTGATATGCCCTGTGACTTGTTAATCACTAGGGAAGACTTGCTCACACAGTTGCACCACCACAGTTTTATATAACTGTAGGGCTGATGCCCTTGTTGGCCATCTTCCAGTTAGGAGTAGCTCTTTCCAGCTTCAGCTGCTTTCAAAATAATGATTAAACTGAGGAAATTCACTGTGATTGTGCAGTAAACATTTCCATGGGGAATTCTGAAACTGAATTGGAGTATTTATAACACAATATGAATTTCCTTATGGTGCATCAAAGATATATAACAGCAATTGCTAAATTTGAAAATACGCTGATAAGGAGTGCAAAACCAAGTCTTTGTTCCTCTTTCCTGAGGAAGGTGTAGCTAGTAAGGAATGTCTAACTGTAAGAGCAAAAGGTGAGAATTTGCCACGAGACACTGTCTCAAGGGACAGTTGTATGCTCTCTACCTTATCAGGCCTGTTTTTTGGGTATGGACTACTCTTGGTGATCCTGTTATCATCTTCTGCTTTGCCGGGCATGCAGCTGGGAGATGCAGAGCTGGTGACAAGTCAGAGCCACCATAAAATGACTTGTGGTTAGGCTTTGCAAATTATCATTCAAGTGAGGGGAACCCTCTTGTTTTTAGAGGTAGACCTCTGCTTGTGGGTTGCTTTCTGGCCTTTTAAACGTCCTCAACAACTTTCCCAGACAACTTGATCTGGCACCACTTGCTTGGCTGGATTGTCAGATTCCTAGGTGACAGCTGTCCATGGATTTAACCACATACTAGAGCCTTGCTGTCTCAGTATAAAAAGGTAATTTGGTAATATGGTTGTCATGTATACATACATTGTTTAAGCCCTTAACTTGTTTGAAGTGCCTAAAGTTCTTGTTCTCCAGAGTGTCATCCACTTCAGTCTTGTAAGCTTTCCAACAGCAAACAGCAGTTCAGCAGTCCTTTTGTATGCTCATTCCTGAAGTTTGCATACAGATCCAAACATAAAGTGGTATTATGTGTAAAACAGAACAGGGGTCTGGGCGGTGAACCCACACCTGCAGTTACCCTGCACATCAGCACGCATTTATGGCCGGCCCTGCAAAGGCCCACGTCGCTTGTCCTGGTGACAGGAGGCAGTCGGCATTGCTGGAGCAGCCACGATGAGTTTTTATGCAGCTGAGGCCAGCTCAGGTAGGACAGGATTCCTGCTGGATGGAGCATGTGGGTGGACTGTCCTGTCCGGGAGGACTGCAGCTCAGAGAGGCCCAGGGGCCCCTTTTGAAGAATGTGTGCACACTAGTGTTGGCCTATCTGGGCCAGCTGGAGGTGGGTGTGACTTGCTGCAGCTGCTCTGATACTCCTGCAGAGAGCTTGGTGACTCAATGCTGGGGCTGGGCACAGTGTGGAATGGGGGCGTGCTGCTGAGCTGATACACCGTGTGGGGTTTCAAAGTCTGTACAGTGAATTTGTGTGGTTTGTTTATGGGCTGGATAGAATTGGCTCCACAGTATTTTATTGATGGAATAGGTATGTTGTTGGCTCTTTCTCATGTTTGGGAAATGCCTGTTAGATTAGAATCACGGTGTGGTGTATTTACACCAATACAGTATTTAAAAATCACCATGTACATCTTGAGCATGCTGAACAAAATGTGGTGATAGTGCAGCTGTGGTACAGGATGAATTAATTAACAGGTAAATTAAATGCATTGGTGCTTTCTGATGTTTTGAAGGTACTGTTCAAACAAAGGCATCTGGTAAATTTTCATCTCTTTTTTTCCCTTGAAAAAGGGAGATTATTTTACCTCTTAGCAGAAATTAATTAGAATATGTCTATGTTGAACAACCTACACACAAGAAATTTTAATTATTTTTACCTCGGTAGAAAGACATAGTTAATAAATACTAAAAGAATGACTAATACAAAAATATTAAGCAGTTATTTCACTACATGATCAGTGTCTAAAAAAATTGAGCCTGTTGGTGTAACTGTGGAGTACAGCCTTGTAATTATGATACACTGCTTATATCTTGGGGAGAATCAAATGCATATATAAATGGGGCTTTGTTGTTTTTGTTAGGCATGTGCATCACATGTGTGTCATGGTTGTAATTATTGCTTTCACAAGCCTAACTTGACCCCATGCTAAGTCATTCTGCCCGGCCCTGAGCATGCAAGATTACTTTTGGTGTAGAATTATGGTCTAGCTTTTGAAAAACTGTATTTGAGTATGAGACTTGCTCTGTTATCCTTACTTTTTTCCCCTTATATCTTTACAGAGAATAACATGCAATTTTAGCCAAAATAGTGTAGGGAAAGGTTTTGAGGTAGTGCTGGTTCAGGTTGCAGTAACTCATGTTTGTGCAAACTGACTTTTAACCTTTGTAGGATACTAAATAGTTTGGTGGTGGTGTATCTCTTTTTGCTTTTGTGATGGACTGTCTTTCTAACCTGCAGGGTTAAAGGTGGGGAGAAAGAAGTTTGAAATAGCAATTTTGTCACTGCTTGTGTAGTTAGAAGGCTCAGAAGACAGAATTTGCATTATAATAGCTCTCATTTTGCACCATACTGTGTCATTTAGTCGTGTTCTGTGTGTGTAGCTCTCGGAAGACTTGGAAACAATTATTTTTTTATTACTCCATTCACTCCTATATGTCAGTCCTTTACTGTTCTTTATTGTAATTGCCCATAAGATAAAGTCTTTGCCATTTTCAAATTACTTTGACTTCTTATTTACTATGAATACTAGATTGCTGTACAACTTGTGAAGCTAGTGGTACTTCATGTAGTACCCCTGGGTATTGAGAAATTTCTCAGTAGGAAAAGTAAAAGATGGGAGAGTGTTACATTTGCAATATCTTGGGTTTTCTCTGAAACATGTAAGAAAATGACTTAGTTTGGTGACGATTTATGTGAACACTTGGAACTTTAAAAAAACCCAATCAAGAATAATGGAAGGGTTTTTACTTGCTTAGAAATTTTAGACAAATAGGAGGCCTTAAGAGCAGCAAATTTAAAAGGAGGTTGCAGTGTGGTTATCCTTGTTTAATTGTAGATGGAACTGTTCAGGTGACTTGAGCTTAGGCACAAATACAGATCTAAAAGTTGATGAGGATTATCTCATTTCTTGTTTCGGCTGTTCAAGTGTTTTCACATTGAGGAAAACCAAGTTGCCTTGAAGAGTAGTTGGTAGGGAGGCCAGAAGCAGGTGGCCATTTGGGAGCTGCTGCTTTTGATGTTCTAAATGCCAGTACCTTTATTACAGAGACTGAGGTGCAGGAAAATTTAGTCTGCTCAGTGTGCATAAACAGAAATAGTTGCCTAGAACTAATAACAATTAGTCTCAAAAGAAAACAACGGTTTTAAGGAAACAGCGTTGATTGCTTCAGTAAACTTAAAACTTGATTTTATGCATCTAACCATATAGGCTGTTGATAAGCCTATTTAAATTTTCCGATTTAATGTTGAGGAGAAAATGTCTGTTAATTTCTGAATTGGCATGTTAGGACTCTTAAAAGCATCGAAATTATAAAGGCTGTTTGTTCACTAGTGATGGAATAAAGTTTGAGAGTTAGACCAGTGAAAGGATGTACTGCATTACTCCAGTTATAAAATCAAAGTGCGTTTTATCCTGTGTGAAAAAGAAATGTGCATGTGGTCTCTTGAAATACTTCTCGATCTGAACTATGCTTCACTTGGCTGTGATCCAGGTTTTGGACAACTTTCCTTCTCCCTTTCCCTCTTCTTTGCCCTTCCACCTCCTTAGAATGCAGATGGTTGATTTCTTTGAAATCTTACATGGTCTTTCTCTTTTCTTTCAGGGACCAGTTACTCTCCACAGGAAAACTCACACAACCACAGTGCTCTTCATAGTTCAAATTCCCATTCTTCTAATCCCAGCAATAATCCAGGCAAAACTTCAGATGCAGTGAGTATTTGTGATTGATTTTTATCAATGTGTTGCCCTGTCCATACACACCATATTTTCATAATTTTGTCTAAGACAGGCAGCATATACATTGTGCTTGAGTTTTCCAACATCAGTGTTTATTTTATAAACAGTGTGTAAACCCAACCTGCAGTTGTTACATGTTTTAAAACTATTCCAATTGGTAATCATTAGAGCTTTGTGTTACCTGTCATTAATTTTAAAATACTAGATTGTTTAAATGACATAGATACAGAAATATTTTCCATTAACTTTGTGGTAAATCCAGAGCAGACAGTGTGATTTTACTTATTTGAAATGCATTACGTATTGTGAATTTTAGTCACTTCAGCATCAAAGTTTTAGTAGTTAGAGTGGTGTAAAAATATGCCCAAACCCAAAATTAAAGTAAAGTAAATTTGTGGTCAGTGGAAAAATTTTGGAAAGATAATAATTCTGGGGATGTTGTAAGGTTGAAGGAAACTAATGTTATCAGTATTGACCTTACTGTATCCCACTAAATGTACTACTAGATTTTGTTAAAGGGATTGATGGGAATAAACCAGAGGAAACTATTGCAGAATGCAGCAGGAGGATACTGGTCACGTGTTCAAGCTGTCATTTAGAGGTGGTGGAAGGCAATGATATGGGTACATAAAAGGTGCCATGTAGTTTTAAACACAGTGAAAGCTGTTAAATTTGTACATCAAAACTCTCAAGTAGTCTTTTGTCCAACACTGTTTGTATTTTAAAGGCTTATGATTCTGCGGATGATTGGTCTGAACACATCAGCTCTTCAGGCAAAAAATACTACTACAACTGCCGAACAGAAGTTTCCCAGTGGGAAAAACCAAAAGAGTGGCTGGAAAGGTATATGGTTTTATTTGTTTTAATTGTATAAAGAACAAATATTCTTAGGAACATTTCAGAGCACTTGAGCTTATCTAATAGATTACTGCTATAAAAGATTGTGCTCTAAGTCTGCTGTGTTCCTACCCTTACCATGACCTCTGGCACCTCTTTTATCCCTTGACAATCCAGAGCCTGAGAGGGAGGTATGGTTGGTTTGTGTGGAGATGATTTATTGGGGAGGATTTTGTTGTTCCGTTGCTTGGTTGGTTGGTTTGGTTTTTGTCTTGTTCTGGGGTTTATTTGTTTGTTTCCGTTGGATTTTTGTTTTGGTTTTCTGGGTCAGTGTTGTACTTAATGTTTTGTTTCAGGATGGGTTTTTTGGGTGGTTTTTTTTTTGGACAAGATTAGTAAGCTGAATTGGTATATTGTGGGCTTCAGCAAGCATGCATGTAAGGAAGCAGTGGCTGAAGTTTGCTAACCCCCCCTGTAGCAGCAAGCTCTTAACAGTTTAATTTATCTCATGTAACTTAGAAAGACTGTTTTATTATTAAATAATGTACGTTTTTACCTGACTTCTGTTTTGTTTTTTTCAGAGAGCAGAGACAAAAAGAAGCAAGCAAAATGTCAGTTAACAGTTTTCCAAAAGATAGGGATTACAGAAGAGAGGTGATGCAGGCGACAGCTGCCAGTGGGTTTGCCAGTGGAAGTATGTGGTTTTTTTACAGCAATACATTCTTGCTTTGTTTGCATTAATGTTTTCTTTTGCAAACTTCAAAAACTGTAAAAAATCCCTTTCCTTAGCTCTTTTTCTCACCTTTTCATTTATAAAAGCCAAAGTGGGTAGCACAGTTAACTCTCCCAAATGTGGGTTTCTTTAAACAGCTTTACTAGTGCAACATTTGCTTAATGCTTTTCCTTTTTGTGGCTTTTGCTGTCGAGTTTAATTATCTTCATGGATAGTTACTTAAATAACTTGCATAATCTGTAGTTTAGTTGGACTGTTGTGATCATTGAGACCTGCTAATGTCATATTCTGACATTAAAAATAAAGATTTCACATCTAACAATAATAACCTAATTCAATCTATTTTTATATCGTGGTTTTCAAGAGGCTTGTGTGTGTTATCAAGAGCATATTTTTACCTCACCAATACTCTTTGCAAAATCTTCCCTGGACTATGAATTTCTGCAACTTGGAGATTTTTGTCTTTTTTTTTTTTTTTTTTTTTTTTTTTTTTTTTTCAACTCTTTTTTTTTTCTTGGTTTTTTTGGTGTGTTTTTTTTTTTTTTTTTTTTTTTTTTTTTTTTACCTAGCTTTAATCTTTGTCGGCTTTCTTCTGGAAAACAGTTGTACTGTGAGATTCTGTCTGTATGCTGATGTAGTTTGGATAAATTTGTAGTGTAGTTCTCAGGGTAGTTTAAAAGCAGAAGCCAAAGTATTATTCTTCACCCACGCTCTTGGGATTTGACAAGGTGATGTATAAAGGGGTATTTTTCTGTGTACACTGAAACTTGCTGTATATGCTAAAATATACTGGATGCTGCAAAAAGATAGCAGTCATGTATAATGCAGTGAGTATTTGTTTTGTGACAGGTGAAAATGTCAGAATCTATAAAAGAATTACTCTCTGTTTACTTGGTATGTTCACTAAGTAGCATATTTTAGTCTATGATCATGTGACAGATGAGTCATTCATTTAATATATATAAATGCCTTGAATTAACTGTAAATTTGTTGTAGTAGTACTCAAGTGACATGAAGAGGAATTCTTTGAAGGCTAGAATGGCAAACTGTTAAATTATACTTGATGTTCAGGGATTTTGATGAACAAAAGAAAAATGGCATAAATTATCTCTTCACACTAAATACAAGATGGAAATAATAGATCTTGATTTAGATCTTTTTAGGAGACTTCAAAAGTTAACTTGACTGTAACACTCGTTATAAAGCAGCCTTTCATCAAAACACAGTGCTTAACTGGAGCTCTAAATCAAGTAAAGGTCAGAGAAAATGCATTTTGTCAGTGAGTCGAATTAAATTTTGTCTTTTTTGAAGCTGATCTACTTGAAGCGTTTTGTAATCATAAGAAGTTCAATCAGCTCCAGTTGTTGGTGTGCAGCTGTATTAATCAGTTACTGCAATCTTAGACTTGTTTCTAATTTAATCTTTTTTTTTTTTTTTTAATTGCAACGTTACTTGGGGAATCCTGAAAAAAGTGGAAGACAAGCATTCCAGTGACACCAGCAGTATGCTCCCACAGAATATTTTGTCTCAAACAAGCAGGCACAATGACAGAGACTACAGACTGCCAAGAGCAGAGACTCACAGTAGTTCTACTCCAGTACAGCATCCCATCAAAACAGTCGTTCATCCAACTGCTACCCCAAGCACTGTTCCTCCTAGTCCATTTTCTCTACAATCTGATCACCAGCCAAAGAAATCCTTTGATGCTAATGGAGCATCTACTTTATCAAAACTGTCTACATCCACATCTTCCATCCCTGCACAGAAAACAGAGAGAAAAGGTATGTCTAATGAAATTCCCTCTGGTATTCAAGATGATGCATTGCCTTATATTGCTTGTTCAAAGTATATTAGTACTAGAATTTAAAGATTTTTTTCCTTTTTGATTGTGTGTGCTTTTAGAACCTGATTACTGTTTTGATGTGTTTACTTTTCCCCAAACCCAATTTGCTATGTCTTGTACAACTTCAAATTGATGCTGTGATATTTACTATTTAAGGCTTTATTCTGCAAATTAACATTTCAAATGATAATTTGAAATATGTATTTTTGTAGAACATATTTTAATTCTTGTTTTCTCTCTTTTTGTTTTGGATCTTTGCCATTTATTTGAGTTGTCATGTAGTTACACAATTTGAAAGTCATTTTGGACCATTATGTTTTATGAACTGCTGTTATTGTTTGGAATGCCAGTGTCAAACCTTTCAATCAACACAAGCACAGTTCTTACAGAAAGCAGTTTTCTACATTTTTGTAAGAGCTAATCTATTTTGATCTGTGTCTTGAGAAATACTGGATCTTCAATTCTAAATCTGATAGTACGTGTTTCTGTTATCTGATAATACCTGGTAGATACAGTTACAGTCAAGTGAAGATCAGGACTTCACTGTGTGTTGTTTATGACCTCTCAGACCTCTGTCCTTCAGTTAGATTTACTTCATTATTAGGAATGAAGAGCTCAAGAAGATTGTGAGAATGAGATGTGTGTCATTAATGATAGTGTGTTACTTTGGTGTAGTTGAGATTTCAGAGTAGTATTGTGTAAGAAAATTCTATTTAGAGGGCTTTGGGAGGGAGAAAATAATTTTTGGTAATCATGTGTTTTAATTTAAAATATTGTATAATTAATATGTAATTGAGTTCTTTTTTTTGAAAGATGGCTTGTTGCCCTGTCCATACTTGGAAGTTGACCTGGTTAAATAGTTTTAAAAAGAAGACCAAAACAGACTCTGGTCTGACACTAGTCTTGTGCTCTATGTTTGTTTTTGACTCTTCCACTTTTGTTTAAAGAGTTCCAACTTCTACGCAGACTTAAGAGCAGCTGGCCACACAAAATATTCAAACAATAGCACACACTGACAAATACTGTAAGGTAATTGTGCATGTAAAGGAAGTTTTAAGTTTTTTCTTGACACTTTGTGCAATTTTTACATAATCTGAGTCATTAATACTGAGTGTAAACTACAGAGGAACAGGTTATTTTCAGCAAGCTTTTTCCTATTCAACACAGTAAAGCACAAAGTAAGGTGTACTAGTTCAAGTATGGTTCTTGTACTGAGTGCAGTAATTATCTGCTTCAGTTAAGCCTGAATTTTTCTGACTGCAGTTTGATGCACTTGTACACATTACAGTGCAAAACATCTATGTCAAGTGTTCTTTCCTTTAGTGTATCTACTCCATTTCTATATTTAAAATACACTTAACACCCCTCTTGTTATTACTCAATTCTGGCATGTTCTTGATTCCCATTTGGTGTGTGATCAGATTTCATACTGGGTATTCTTTACCTTGCTGCACATCTTCATTAATTGAAGAGATGACTCTTGCAGAAGTTGAAGGAATTTCCCATTTTGACAACTGCTACAGATGTTGGTGGAAAGTTCAAATATTTCTTTCATACAACATTAATTTGAGAACATACAGCTGGGTATAATATTGAAAACAGTCACACGGGGCAGTCTTGTAAATTTTACATTAGAATCCATGGATTGTTCCATATTAAATAGTACACTGAATTTCTGTATTCTTAGATAGGTGTTTTTTTAAATTTTATATGGGTTAAATGAATAGATTCTTTGTAGTAATCATGCCTCATTGATCTGTTTCATGGCACTTGATTGTGAGCAAATTCTGTACTTACTGAGCTTCAGAAAAGGGTCATTTACAGAAAGTTAGTAAATAATTGAAGAGTTAGAATAGGTGAATGTTGGGCTTGAAATTCTTACTGTAGAAAATGTGAGATTTTACGTGTTGCTTTACCTCTTGCACAGAAAGAGAAGAATTCAGTGCGAGTGCTGTAGTGATAAAAGCTCATCAAGCCGTACATTCAGTTGACTTTGCTTTTTCTGGTGAATGTCAGACTGTCTTTTTAAGGATATTAAACCAGTAAATTTTCTGTAGCATTTTACATATTTAATTTTTTTTAAAAAAGGGGAAGAAGCAGTGCTTTGGATGATTTACTGTTACGCATTCTCTCAGGTGTGGCTGTGAACCTGCAGTACTAGAAATACGCAGTTTATAAAATATTTTTTTTATAGCTGTTATACAAATAGAAAATACAGTAATTGTCCTGAGACACTTGGTTCAAACAATCTTCTAAAAGTCTTTGCAGAACTCAAAAATAGTGTGAGAGGTTTATGTTTACAGTAGTAAAGCAAAAAGCCTTTGATCTTCTTTTTCTGTTCACTGTGGGATGGGAGGGACTATGCCATCCCTCTCTCTTTCTAGAAAGAGGTAAAACTATTTTTTTGCCTAAAAAAAATAGGTTGGTCCAAATGACTGAATAATATGTGCAGTAGTCCTTCCTTGAATGAATTCTTGCTTCTTGTGGATGTGTTGCTGGCTGCCTTATGCCAGCATATATGTACTGCTGTTTTAATAGTTCTGATTTCAGTGTGTATTTTTTAAAGCAGTAATAGTTCTGAACAGCAGAACAAGAGAAAAACACAAAACCCAACGACAATGCTTTTTTCAGCTCAATCTCTTTTGCTACAGGGGTATGTTGTAGTCCCACAAGGAGATTGAATAAAATCCCTGGCTGAACTATAGCTCAGCTGTTAGCAGTAGTCCTCTGCCCTCAATGGCTGGCAGTAGTGGAGAGTTCCTGGGGAACTATTTGACCTCTACCCTTTGGTTTGAATGTTCCAGTCAGAATCTGCTGCTTCTGTTTGTGCTCACTGTGAGTGCTTTATGCAGGTAAAGTGTGGGGTTGCTTTTCCTACTTTTTGGCTGCTTTATCTGTAGGGCACATCACATTTTCCTATTTCTAATTCAGAATGAAATGTTGTATTGTCCATATCTTAACAGTGTGTCTGTCTGTAGGATACTGCTTCTCACACCTTTCCTCCAAGTCCCATCAAGGCAGCACTTCTGTTTCTAGTGCAGCAGTACTCTAAAACTTCTATGAGAACACAACAAGCTGGCCAGTGCAGTGCTGGGTGGGTTGTGACTCTGGTGCTTCTTTTCCTTTTCTCACCCTTGTGGTTTTCTTGTAACACTTGCTAGCTTTAGTGGTCAGTTATTAACATTGCTTCTGGTATTGTTGCATCTTCTTTGGCTGAGTTTTGCAGTTTCAAGTATATTACTCAATTCATATGTCGGTTAGAAAAAGTTACACGTGAGAATGTTAGTTTCTTCCAATAGTTTATATTTGTTTGCTGAACATTGCTGTTACATTTATTTTGACAGCAGAGGTAAAATACAAAAAACCTTCAGTTTCAAGATTGGAGTAGACCAAATGTGAGAAATAGGGATTTTTTTTTTCCTTTGTATTTTAGATAATTTGAGTATTTTGAGAATCTAGTTGCTATTGTTACTATAGTTTCATTTGGCCAAATGCATTTACAAAATGCATTGCTTTTAAATATTTACGTATTTTTGTTGTGGCATACAGTCCTTAGTAGATCAGAACTGAACTGTGTAAAACAGATAAATGTGACTGTCAGTGCTCACAGTTTAGTTGGTCGACTGTATCCTCCAGGTGCTTTAGCACAGAAAATGTGTTTGATTCTTAATCATGAGCAGGAAATAAAGCAGTTCTGTTAGCTGTTCTGGGTAGTAGTTTTTTAATCAGTGAAGCAGAGATGAGGTTTATAGGGCAACAGGATACAAATTTCTGAAAATTTTGTAGTACAGTTTTTCTCCCACAGAGAGCACACTGAGAGGACTAGTGCCTAATAGTTGCTAGCAGTGCAAAGATAACAGCTCAAGCTCACAAGAGGGTGAGGTAATGTTTTAGTGTTGCTTCCAAAGGACTTGGATGCATTTGTTTTGTTCTAAATGGGATAAAAATTAATATCAGTAGTAAAAGCTGTAGGAACACTCAAAGGATCATTTTAATAATTTAGGAATCATCTAGTCAACAGTAGTTGGTAGTTTCCATGTCACTGAAAATAAGTCTTTGTTGCTATAAATCAGAGTAAGAACAAGCTAATATAGAGCATTAATTTAAAGCTAGTCATGCAGGGAATACAAGTATGTTAGCTGTTAGAAAGAGGGCTGTGAAGGAGAGTCCTTTCTTCACAAAAAAGGCATTTCCCAGTTCTGTTCTTTTTTCCACATCCAGTTCTCTATCACGCTCATGTGCGTGATGAGCTCGGCACAGCCTGGTCAAGAGGGAGAGCAAGCGAGTGACAGGTGCTCACAGCACAGACACAGGCGGGTGGCAGCAGCACAGCCGAGCTGTGCGACTGTCGGTGTCAAAGCTCTGCGCTGAAGCAGAGTAGCTGAACAGTCAGAAGGCTTCTGTTTCCACCCCCTTGCACTCAGGCTGGTAGGCTCAGGGTTGCCTTTCAGAGTGTCAGTCCTAGCAGATCAGCTGTTTGCTCAGGTGCAAAAATTCTTGTCATAACAGGCAGAGATTGGTGATGGCAAGATTCTGTAGCATGTTTATGTATTGACTCAAACTGAGAAGCTAAGGATGCTTAGAAAAAAACCTGAGGATCATTTTGGTGCGACTGCTGAAAATGATGTGGTTTTTGGTTTTTTTCTGAAATGATTGTTTGGCCATGTTATTGAAAAATTCCCGCCACTTGTAAGCATCAGACCAGGATGTTCCCATTCTGTCTTGAACTGGTGTTTCTACTTCAACAAAAACTTGGCAGACCTCTTCACAAAACTTAAAACAAACTGCATCTTGTGTCATACAGGTTCTTGTCATATGAAATTCTGACTGATAACTTGGATTTCTTTCCTTTTTGTTCAAAAGATGTGATTGTGGGTCACACTCCCAACAGGGAGGGTTATGAACAGAAAGCTCTTCCCTAGTCATTGTGGTTTTCAG